CTGCAGCCAGAGCGTGCACATCGCTATCTCCCTCCACAGTACAGCTGCAGAACAGCCTGCACTTGAGAATGGAAACGAGTACCTGCTAACGAGGTGCCTAAAACATAATTATCTTGATGCTTATCTGGTTTGCTATTTTTTAATCTTAGTAAAAAACACACATAAAGTAAAACATTAAGAATAATGACTCCCATCCACCTTATCATATAATCCCACTATGTTTAGGCTACTGGTTATTTTTTTTTAATGAATATCTCCATCTTTACCCTTAATGGAAAATTCTATTATCATCAAGTAATGTAATATATCAAGGCCCCAAGGCTATCTTGCCACATTTCACTCTGGCATAGAAATCTAATTCTCTCCCCATAAAGTCAAAAAGAAAAAGTAGGGTAGTATATATGTTTTCAAATTTAATTCAGGGTCAAGTTATAATCGTTATGTTCAACTGATAGTTTAGTGACAATATAAGGTAATATAGTCAATGATTTCAGTGGGCTTCAGAAAATAATGAGCCTATTTCCAGCAAAGAAAAAGTCCCTATTTTTGCTTCTCTGCTGTGAAAGATCACAGTGTATGTGGTGTTTAAAGATGAATGCTTTGGAGTCAGAAAGACCTAGATTTATATCTGGGTTCTACCAACTTACATGTATGTAACATGCATTTTCAGTCTAAGTTTCAGTTTCACACCAGTGGGATGTGTAATGATCATGCCCACTCCCAAGCCCGTAGGGCAGTGGGAAGGACTAAGCAACATAATACAAATAAAATGATGATAAGAATGGCTGCATTACTAAGCGAACAGCATAAAATGTAAGTTATCATTAATACTGTGGTTACTACTCAGAGTTAGTTAGGGGTGTTAAGCAATGACTGGGGCACCAGACTGTTTGCATTTAGGTCTCACTTCCCCTACTTACTGAGTGAACTTGAACAAGTAACTTGTCTTCTCTGTGACCCAGTTTCCTCGTCTGTGAAATAAAGTCTTATAATATTCACTCCACACAGTTGTGAGGATTAAATGAGTTAACAGCATTATTTGATGGGACTTTCTATGATTATGGTAATATTCTAAATCTATACTGACCTATATGATAGACACATATACTAAGAGTTACTGAGTACTTGAAATGTGGCTATGCAACTGAGGAGCTGTATTTTTAATTTAATTTAATTCACTTAGTTTAAATGTAAATAGCCACTTGTGGCTAGTGGCTACCATTTGGACAGTGCAGACTAAAAACATTGCCTGACTGTCTTAACCCATTAGCACTTCAGCAGATGCCGGCGTAACTGTGTTAGCCAGTAGTGGCAGTGTGGCCGGTGCTTAGGGCATAGGTTACACACAGGCACTGCTTCTCCTGGCAGTGGCCACAGGCTGAGGAGGAAAAGGATGTTCATGGCTGAAAGCACTGGAAGTAAGGGGGGTGAGGTGAACTCCTAGGTCATATGGATCACATTGCCAACTAAATTCATTCTTTCTCAAACTCTTTCCTTCAACCCCACTTCAGTTCTGAATATAGTTATGTATATTGTAAAGCATATACTACATGGAAAAGACCTTGTGATTTCCTAAAAGGTACTTTCTTCCCAAAAGTTTGTGTGTGTGCATGTGTGTCAATAACTTTCTTATTTACCAAAGAATCAGTTGTTCATTGTCGTGGAATAACATAAAAGATAAGAACTCAGTATGTTAATATTGGTGAATTATATTTAACTTGGAAAAGCATATTTTGTCAATCTTTCAAAACAGAGATACTTTAAATGGAAAAATTTAAAGAATCAAGGCTATCAAACCTGAAAAATAATTTAATGACACCAAGAATAACCTATTCTTTATCCTTTTCTCTGGTTCAAGTAATAACAACCTTTCTCTAAGCTGAATACACATAAAAATGTCTTCTTGATCTAACTCTCTGGATTGCTAAAGGCTCCCTTTACTTGAGGTTTTATGAGAGCAAGGAAATCAGAAACATAATTATGCTGATATAAAATTATTTTTATAGCGCTGAAGAAAAGCAGTGCAGATTCCCTAAAGAATTAGATTTGAACAGACATTTTCAGCCATGGTAGTCATCATTCGAAGCATTTCATAGATACCACAGAGTATCTCACCACTCAAATAAACATACAATATGAAAATACTGTTAATATGTTCGATTTTTCTCAACAGAATGAGGGGAAATATCACCACTTAAATTCCTAAGCAAGAAATAGTGATGGTAAATGTTGGGTAGGCTTTTATATTTGGTTTGGTTTGCGTTTTAAGGCTTATTATCATCTCAGTAGTTAGGCAAAGGAAGTTTAAATTTGGGTACAAGAGACAGATGTCAGGAAAGTGACACTGAGTCTTTGAGAATTGCAAAAGAAGCATTCTCCAAACTTGAAGGGCCCTCTTTTTCATCTTCCTAGCCCTTCCAAGCCCCATCTTCATGACCAGGAAAGGCTGAGCAGTATTTATATACTCCTGCTGCAGCTAATTATAGAGGTAATCTCTGGAAGCAACCTGATTAGACATGACATGTGAAATTACCTGAGAAACTTAATATTCTAATCATATTCATATCTAAAGCCTATCCATGAAGGCCCAAATACACAGGCCGACTTTTTAAATACCTGATTTCCTCCATCACCATCATCAGTGACTAGAAAGACGCTCGTGGCCTTCCACAGCCTGGATCTTCCTGTAGCTCTTGCCTCCCAGTATGGAGATGGTTCTCATCCTGGAACCCAAAGCCCCCGAGAGCCATGCAGAGATCACATGGGTCTATCTGAACCCCCTAAACTACTTGCAGTTGTGCTTGACTCTATTTGTCACTGTATAAATCTGTGTGGAGGAAGGGTCAGTAGATATTATCAGATGTTTTAAGGGGCTTGTGCTCAGACTTATATAAGTATACAGAAGACAGATGGCTCCAAAATATCTCCTCCCCCAAATTAAAATGATCAGAGCAAATAATGCTACCAGTAGTATCTCTGAAGGAGCCCAACTTTCTCAAATTTAGAAAGTAGATGTTATCTTTAGTTTGTATTTTTTTAATGCAAAAAATTTTTCTTCAACTTTAAGTAGACAGTTTCTATTGCCTGAGATGCCATGTAATTATTTGGGAAGGGCTTATATCTCTGTAATTTTGAAGTTCCCCAGTGATTCCATTGAGTGTGCCAGGCTGGGGACCACTTACTAAAGTGCTGCACACACTGCCTGGCTCACAAGCCATGCTCGGTGGTGACAGCTACTGTGGTCACCATCATGGTCACCATCTGCTCACCCCTGATTCCTGTGAGCCTGCTCTCCACCCATCCTACCCCGAGAGATGGGGATCCAAATTTAATAAACATGGGGAATCAACTACAATTTTCATTTTTCTTACACATTTAAAAAATTCCATAGATGTAGGTTTAGTCACAAACTGTATGTTTCAAATTAAAGCCATAAAGTTCTATTCTTGACTATAGAGTCTTCTTCTTTGGGTAATGTCCTTCTCCTTTCATTAGAAAGTCTCATTTCCACATGGCATTTTCTGTATTACACATACCGCTTAAAGAAACAAAGTATAATAATGACTAGGTTGTTGTATAGGAAAATCAAATAACCATTAAATTCCTTTTTTTTAAGCAGTCAGCCTAATTGAGCAATATTTACTGGGCATTGGCTAGATATTGGAGTAGAAAGTGGGCTAGAATAAAAGGTGAATAAAATAACCCCCCCCCCCCAGTCTGGCTGGTGTGGTTCAGTGGTTGAGCGTCAACCTATGAACCAAGAGATCATTAGTTCAGTTCCCAGTCTGGTCACATGCCCAGGTTGTAGGCTCGATTCCCAGTAGGAGGTGTGCAGGAGATAGCTGATTGATGATGTTTCTCTTTCATCAAAATTTCTATCTCTCTGTCACTCTCCCTTTCTCTCTCTCTAAAAATCAATAAAACATTAAAAATAATTCCCCCAAGCTTTGCCACTTCAAAAAGCAGAAGCTGTAATGTATGAGCCTTTACCATGTGCCATGATGCTTTATATGTACTATAGCATCCTACCCTTTTATTGCAATGAAGGACTTTTATTATCATCTTGTTCCCAAATTACTTAGTGCTTTATAGATCCATCCACAGTATGCACAGCCCCTAAGCAAACAGGCTAATGCTACAGGCACCGAGCCAAGCACATTGTGTTGGTGTGGGGAAAGCATATAGTTCCGAGGTGTGGCACAGTGTGGCACAGAGTAAACACAACAACTGGTAATAGCATCCCCTTAGATCACCCCATAAAAGTGTCAATCAGTTCAGAGCCAAGGAAACTGAGTCTCAGAAAGGTTGAGGAATCACAAGACCGCACTGTTAGGAAGTGTTGTAGCTGGCATTGAACTCTGGCGCCTCCTGCCAAACAGCTGATCCTGTGGAGATATGGATAAACTCACCCACAATTAGCTTCAGCCTCTCCTGACTCAGATGGTGTAGCTGCAGATGAAGTCTCTTCTGGCTGTTTTAGTGTTCAGCTTTCTCTCTTCAAGTTCAACAGTGAAGACTCCCTCTTTGGACATAGTTTTTTATAGTATTTCTAATAGTGAAAAGGCACAGGCCCCCTGAAGCATTTTTTCCTCTTGAACCCCGGAATTCCCCAAGTCCTGGCAGGAAACTTGAGCCCTATTCAGAAGCGGAGTTCTCCTGGCCACCCTCATCACGAAATCTGTTACTACACCAAATGCATTTCCACCTCCTGCTGACAAAGAGCAGCCAGTAGCCAGGCTGTTAACCTGAGTCCTAATTAGGCTGCTTTTTATAATGAGGAAGAGAGTGTGGTTCTAATTAGTAATTTTCCATCTTTTTCTCGGTAGGTGTCTCCCAGTCAAAGCAATAAGCTATCTGCATCACACTGGTCCCTTCCCTTGCCAAAAAATAATCCTACTGCAAAACAGAAGCAACAGTAAAGGTGGTAAAGGACACGAGAGAGCAGAGAGAGGTTTTATGTGCTGCTCATGAGGTGTATTCTCCCCCAACTCTTTTCTTAGGTCCGTGGCGCTCAGATGGTTGGTTCTGACATGGTTGTGACAGTTGAGTTCACCAATCCCTTAAAGGAAACTCTGCAAAATGTTTGGATGCGCCTGGAAGGTCCTGGAGTGACAAAACCAATGAGGAAAATGTTCCGGTATGTGCTGAAGGGTTGTGGGAAGGTGATGTGGGGCTGTGGGATATTTAGTTCTCTGTGTCTTTTCCAAACTTACATCTAATTCCCATTGAAAATGTCTCAGAAGCTGCCATTACCTTACTGGTATTTCTGTAGGGCATGAAGTAAAAATAGGGCTGGTTTGATCAAACTTCCTTCATTTAATTCCTAAAACTATCCAAATGAGGTTGGTACAGGTATTATCTTCCATAGGGAGGAGAGGAATTTTTGGCTTTGAGAAGTCAACAATTTATCCCAAGCTTATAAGAGTGACACAAGATTCGGACTCAAGGTGGCTAATTCCAGAACGAAGTGTCAAGCATGTTTGTGCCTTACCACTTACTTCCTTATGTATCATTTCTACTAATGTGTCAAATATTTTACTAATAGCATATATGTCAAATATGCTATTCCCTAAGTGTTCCTTTTCTTGGATTATTTCTTCCCAATTCCACCTCCCAGACTTCACCAGCTCAAGCACTCAGGAGAATAAAAGATGAGTCTGAAGAGTTCTAGACTTTCTTCCTAGTCAGGGAACCAATTACTACCCCAGGCCCATAATAATAGAAATGAAAGTCTGCTTCATTCCAACCCAGCAGCATCAGATTGTGCCCGACAGTTCTCGGTTTCTTTGGCTTTTACGGAAAAGTACTGTCACCCATAGAACAGACCAGAATGCTGAACTAGCACTAATTGTTAGAAAATAATTGTACCTTTTGATCCTACCAATGATCTGAATTCTATCATCTGGAGCTATTTACAAAATAAGGCCCATCTCTCTTCCATCTGACGACTTGCAAATGTTTGCAAACAACTGTCACAACTTCTTTAAGTCTTCACTATACCTGCCCTGACTTTATTCCTCTCGCTTCTAATATAGTTTTAGCTCTCTCCCTCTCCCATAAACACCACTTTGTCAGTATTCCTCTTAGAGTGTGACACCCAGAATAGATCCCAATCTCTGAGGTTTATTACTTTCATTTTTACCACAAATAAGCCTCTGTCGGCATCAATCAATCTAGAAAATTTCCTGTGGGGTGACCTTCTGAGGTATAGAAAGGGAGATGGGGGCTTTGGAAACTGCCTGATGACCAGATTCGTTGGAGATTGTCCCAATATCCTTTATAGAAGCGACCCTGTTTTGTAATCTGTGGGGCAACTACAAGACCTCCTTCATCCCTTCTGGGGCACCTTTAAAAAGCAATTTGCCCACTAAGGGCCCCCTGCATTTCTTTCAAATTACAGTGCTCACAGCTTCTGCACACCAGAAGGGATGCCTGATGCTGGTGGATGCAATAAACAGCAGATAAAATAACTTGAGTGCTTTAAAAAAAAATGCAAGCACAAAATATCACAACCTTCCTGTGCTAATAGGAAGGTTGCAGGAAAAAAAAATTAAATTAAAATCAACCCTAGCTTGAGGGAGAGGTCAGCAATAATAGCCCTGCTTTGTCAGAAACCATGGTCTCACTCACTCGTTCTCGCACCTTCCAACTTGAATCAAATGCAAGAATCACTTGGCAAAGTGAAACTTTTCTTCTTCAACACAACACCCTGCTGTATTCAATTTTTGTTTCTCAATCAGTAACCCCCCCGAGCTTCATCTGAGGGTACTTTTGCACATTTACTCCTGCTACCTTTATACGTTGGCTGTGCCAAGAATCCCACCTTGATCGAAAGCCAATGCATGAAAGAAACAATCTATATGTTAGAAAAAAGAGTAATGCTCACACAGTACAATGACCCACTACTTGAGATGTATAAGGCTCAAAATAGGTGCATTGATTATTGTTAATATCTGACATTAGGGTGGGTAAAGTATAGTGAATAGGAAATGATGAAAGAGGCTAGTCCTTACATGGGCATTGGGCAAATGTCCCACTCATACTATGCTGCTATAGGTGTTATTATAGTTACTTCAATATATTGGTCTATGGCAGGTAGGTGACAGACAGGACACCAGTTCCTCCATCTCTTATGGAAATTCAGATCAGGGAGTGGATTTCTCCAGAGCCAGGAAGCTTTATATTTTCAGTAATGGTAAAAAATTAGGGAGAAATATATAATCTAGTGTATGCTTGGGACTTTGGGGAGAACACTACTTTATCCATTTCCTCCTGACTCCAGCACACACCTTCACAACCAAGAACTGAGCCAGTGATGCCCTCAGCCATATTGCCAGAGTTAGAAACACTCCAGAGTGCCCTCTGCTGACAAAATCTGATCTAAGCGTGGCAGGTCTATATAAGGACTTGGGTTCTTGAAAAGGGCAATTCTGTAGAAGCAAAATCCTTCACAAGGTTGAGTTCCTTTCTAGAACACACATCTTGAATAGTAAAGGGAGTCACCACCCCGAGGTCCACCCACACCCCTGCAGGGTTCTTAGAAGGTAGGGTGTTTCTTGCCCAAAACATTGTGTCTGGAAAGTAGGAGCTGGTAAACCGGGAATTGAAGTAGGAACAAGTGCAGTAGGAGCTGGTGCTATGTCTTAGTCCTTGACCAGGATATAAGCTAACTCTATTCTGAGAAAGTTTACCTTCCTGCCCTTCCCCCATCTCCTCTCACAGAATCTCAGTTTTCAAGTTTCTTCACTTGATATTCCCAGGACATAAAATAATTCATCTTCCAGATTCATTTTTCTTCCTTTAAAAATGATCAGGTTCAGGGAGTTATTTCAAGAGAAAAGCTCGCTAACTTTGTGATTTTGGTTTAAATGTTGAGTTATTCAAGTAGGATGAAAGCTGAGGGTTAGACCCACTGAGGACAAACCATAAAGAGTTGCAGTTTATTATAATAATAATCCCATTTGCCCTCATGTGTTCAAGATGATAAATGATCAGTATATCCCGATGGCTCAGCACATTACTGAGAACCATTTATCACCACATCTATCCGCAGGCAAATAAGATTATTCCAGTATTACTCCACTTACCAAGGTGGAGAAAGGATTTATTTCTCTCTTTCTGTATCTGTTTTTCTGTAGGCAAAGGCCTACTTAGATATGCATGGGTATCTTCATGTAGCATATTTGTGTTGTGCTCAGACATGATCAGTGTACACACGTACATGTATGAGATACAGGTGTGAATATCATCATGTAGGTGAGTTTATGAGTGAGCACAAATAATGTAAAGCTCAGAGACTACAGTTTTTGTGAGAAGTAGTTACCTGCATTACATGCTGCAGGCCAGATTTTTGAGCAGGACAACTATTTCACGAAGTGTTTCTGATTGATCACTTGGGGAAACCAGAGAAGGGAAAATGAATGGATTGGGGTAAAAATAGCACAATTATTGAGAAATAAATATCTCAAAACATATTCCTATTGAATTAATCTCTGGAATGAAGGATGGATAACTTTTTTTCCACATACAGGCAGGAGGAAACTACTGTCCTAAATTTTTTTGCAGGCGGTCCAGGCAGAGAAAATGGCAGCCACAAAGGTGACTGTGATAATAATAAAAATAACACCACATACCTAACACTTGGCACCTCCCATGCCTTGCCATAGTTCTAAACTCAGTACAAATATAAACTCTTCACACCCTGTTCTATATTCCATAGTATCCACCTTTTACAGGCGAGGAAACCCATAATGAGGTCAATGATTTTTAAATCCTGAATCATAAGATCAATTTATTGAGTTCAAAAACTACATATATAGGTTACATGTGTGTCCTTTTCACATACTTTGGCTTCTCTATAATTGATTTAAAGAATTTATATGGTCACATTTATAAAGAAAAAATTTTTGAAAAGTGTAAGCAAATACAAAATTAATGGAGATATTTAGACTATCAGTGTAAAGTCAATGCCTAGAGTAGCCCCAAAGAGAGGGGTTCCCAAGGCCTCGATGCCTTTCTCGATGGCCACAAATATGAGAGAGAAAGGGGTTTCTTATTTAGTATCTGGATTTCTAGGACTTGGGCCTCTTTTCTTTTTTGTCCCAGAGGATACACCCACAGCCAGTGGAACTATATATTGTTATAGTGACATTTGAGGAAATCTTTGGGTTCAAATTTTACATAAGCATATGTCAAGCACAGGTATGTGGCCCATGTGTCTCCCTTCACTCTGGCTCTATCTAAAGTGATTTATTGTGGGTCCAACCCCAAGAGCAAATGGGAGATCATATGGCTGAGGCCCTTGGACCATTCCAGACTCTCCTTCACACCCTGAGTCCAAAGCTACAGTGTTATCTCCAGATGCTTTGGTCCCCTAGGTCCCTCCAAGGTGCTAACAAAGATTCCCTCCTCCAGTCCCTGGCCAGTCTATCTATGGATCTATCCACAAAATTCCTCTACATAATGCATTTCTTATTTCTGAACACAAGTGCCCTTATCATGTCCCCCAGTGTGTCTCTCTTTTTTCATCGTCCCAGACCATCGGGCTCTGTGGCCATGGAAACTTCCATAAGGCCCTTTGGATCTAAGTTTCCTCATCGGTAGAAGAGACCATTGAAATAAGTGATTTCTAACTGCTTTCCAATCCTCACATGCTGAGCCTCAGTACCCACTGGAAATAATAAGATCCCTTATCCCTCTTTTCAATTCATTTCCCTGTTGCTCTCCCAGAAAAGCACTGGCCCAAGGTGCCATGCAAAGCCACCCAGTATGTGCCTTCCCTGAGAGTCAGAGAACAAAGACCAGGAATCCGCCAAGAACAGCACTTACTTGAGAAATCAAACTTGTGGAAAAGCAAGTGTAGTGATCAAAATGTCATCTTCTTATAGAGTATAGTATGAAGTACAGTATACAGTAGTAGAAAGAGCGTGGATTTGGAAATCAGATAAACCTGGGTTTGAATCTCATCTCTGCCCATTAACAGCTCTGTGGTCTTATAAAACTTGCTTTGTTTGCTTAATCTTCCATTTTTATTAACTTTAAGATATGTCAAATGGTATCTAGCTCAACCATTTTAGATAGATAGATAGATAGATAGATAGATAGATAGATAGATAGATCCTACTGTAATCTCCTCCTGAAGCTGACATGGGTGATATATGTGATATGCCCCAGAGAAGCTTAAAACCTCCTCCTAACCCTTATTGACCTCAGTTATGCACTGCAGTGGGCTTGGCCATGAAGCTTGGGAAGCCTCAGAGCATGGGCTGCAGAGCAAGAGGAGAATACCAAGACCATCAAAGGCTAGGCTCTCTATCAGCAGGCAACCAATGAGAAGCAGAAAAGTGCATGGACAGAGGACCCAGTATAGTGGTTGAAACAGGATTACGAATTACAGAGTATGCAGATACTCCAAGTCATTTGGCAGCAGGCAAGGTTATGATCTTGGGCCTGGGAAAAGGTCTATCCCAAGAAAGCTGGTGAGAACTAATCAGAGTGTTGGCACCTCAGCAAAGGCTTCCAAGAAATTCAGTTAGGAGTCAAGTCACAGATGGGGCCAAGGCAGTTCAGTCACATTGGTAAAGCTACTATGAAGGATTGGGAACAAGTTAGAATTCAGTTAACTCATGGATGGTAGGGCTCAGTCCAGCTCCCCACCATACACATATATTGAGAGACATGTTGATGCATCCAAGGGGGAAAAACCACGGCCCCAGGGATTGTCACTGGCAGAGCTTCAGTAGGGCCCTCCTTTGAGTTGTAACTAGTAGAACCCGCCAGTCTTCTAGCCACCATCAACTGAGAGAAGAGAGCAGGGCTTCTCACTGCTTCCTGATCAAGTTGGGAAACTGGATCTGCCCCTGCGTGAAGTAAAAACTTTCCTGTCTTTTTATCCTTTCAGTGAAATCCGGCCCAACTCCACTGTACAATGGGAAGAAGTATGTCGGCCTTGGGTCTCGGGCCGTCGGAAGCTGATGGCCAGCATGACCAGTGACTCGCTGAGACATGTGTATGGCGAGCTGGATTTGCAGATTCAAAGACAACGTTAGGTGTAAATGCACAGGAGGCTGAGATGGACCCAGGCACTTGGCCTCTTCTAATCTTGGCTAAGGAAATTCTAATGCAAAAATAGTCGGCTCTTGCTTTAACTTAGTTGTGAATACCCAGGCAGGACTGGACAGGGTGCCAGAGTGGGGATGCTATCTATTTCAAAGATAGACTTGTCCAAACTCAGGTTATTCATAGTGGGAGCTAGTTTTTCATCACTCTACCTTCCAAAGGATTTTGAGGATTAGCTTTAATTAAGCCCTAATTAAACTCTCATATCTCATAAGAGTAAAAGTCATCATTTATCATCACAAATGGCTGCAGCTTCAAATATCAGAGGACTTCCCTTAGCAAGGGGATGTGCTAAATACCTGGCCTCATGTAAAACAAGATATCTGGCCCCCCATTCATATTTTTATAAGGATGATTTACTCCCCCAAATGGAGGGAAACACATGATTCAGCTCTAAAGTTATATTTCCCATTCTTAGAAGCAGGTTCTGCCCTCCATGTCAGAATATTGTTCCCATGGATTGAGTACAACTTCATTTGTCTTCTTGGCAAAGTTCGGGAAAGGTCTTTCATCTTGCACCTGCAGCAAAGCAACTGCCTGCCAAATTTCACAGATTTGCCTTGTGAGAAGACGTGGCCCCATATTAGCAAATTGCATTTGTGAGAAACTTAATCACCTAAGAGGAGCTAAGAAAGCAGGTGCAATGCTCAGATCTATTAAATAATGCAGTTTTATGGTGCATTTTATAGGTGGTGTCACATCATGGCCTAACCAGCAGGAACCAATAGCCCTTTAACACTTTCTGGGCTACATTACAGGCATACCTCAAACCACCACAATGAAGCAGAGAATCCTAATAAAGCAAGTTGCAGTTGTTTTGCTGGTGAAGGGTCTTGCCTTCAATTTGTAAAAATTGCAAGGATGCCTGTACTAGAAATTAATGAGTCTAGCTTGCAACAGGAGGAATCAGGAATTAGTTTCTTTAATTAGTAATTATACTTCACCTGTCTCTCTGGGATTATTTTGCATACTGATACATTTTAGAGGCAGAATAAGCCCAACAATTTGGAGAAGCAGGCAGATTTAGGGACCAAGCCTGTGGGAGGATGGGCAGCCACTAATCCTCTCGTCCTTCACATCACCCATGTTGAGGCCTCAGATCATCACTCAGATGCTGAGAGGTAATATGGACTCTGCCTTGCAAACAGCTAATAGAACTGCAGACCCTCTGACAGAGGATGCTGACATCATTTGTAATGTGCTCCAAGGTATTTATTTGCAAAGCTGATGCATGGTCAGAATTACCCATTGATATGCCTAGTGTGAGATTTAGGTCGGTAGATTGTGATTCTTAACAAGCAAACAAAAAAGAGCAGAAGAAACCTGAGGGAGAGGCCAGAATGGAATTCTTAGTCTATATAACCACATTTCTAAATCTTTGAGGCTGTTTATGAGCTTTTAGCACCAAGAGTCCATGAAGGTAACTGGCCCCCTATGGGAACATCACACTAACTCTATTAAGTAATCTCCCAACATTTGCCAAGCCTTCCAATATCCAATTTTAAAGTTAAAGGCATTCTGTGAGACTGTCAATCTGGCTTAATGTAGTATATTCTTATTAACTGGAATGTAATCAAAGCTTGAAATAAAGTTAACCTGATTGTGTTTGCATCTGCACGAAAGTGAGTGCTTTGAATTTTCAGTATAGCATACTACTACTCAACTGCTCAATAAATCACCCTTCATTAGTAGATCATTCACCTGGACAAAAAGACAAGCATTTCTTCTTTCCAAAAATTGACCATCCATGGTATTGATGTCAGCCTAAGTTCTCCTCGCTGCTCTCTCTATCTTTTAGCCACATTCACTGGAGGAAGAGGTTTACATATTTAGTTCAAAAACAAGCTTCTAGAAACTTTCTCATGAATGATCTCATTAATCATTAGAGTAAATCAGTTGTCAAGCCAGCATAAATACCTATCATAATGAATACTTATCATAATGAACACCTTTTGTGAACTTAAAACAGAGATGGAAAATATATGGCAAATATGCACAGGAGAGCCTACATTCATGGTAGACATCACTCAACAATTGCAGCTCATATTGCACCTCAGAGACATTCTCAATACAGTACTCCAGGAAGCTATTACCAACTAATTTGGAGCTGGCACACAAAACTTATGTGCTATGTCTACTTTAGAGCCAGTCCAACTCTTTTAGTAGCTGAGATTCTATGCCATATAATAATACTGTGGCTCTACAAGTTATATATTACCAATAGTAAGCAATGTATCTTAGATAGCAGCAGAGATTCTAAATTATACTTTCTGTCTATACTAATCCTCTGTGCCTTTGAACAAATCCTTATTTATAGCTTCAGTGGCTAAAGAGGGGTGACAATACTTACATTTCCACAAGGTTCTTCTGGTGAGTATATCAAGCAAACCTTAACTACAACACATGCAAAACTATGGGCAGATAGATTATGATAGATAGATGATAGAAGATAGATAGATGATAGATAGAAAGATGATAGATAGATAGATAGATAGATAGATAGATAGATAGATAGATATTGTATGTATATATTGGGTGTTTTTTAAGTACTTTTGCTTCATCAACCTGTAAAAGGAGTAAATATAATTATTTCCAAACTGTTGATGAAGAACTTAAAAAGGTCTAAGAAGCCATGTGTCATGGCAAATTAAGCTGGGGCAGGAGTATGCAGTGTAATCAACCTCTGGCTTTCTGTACCCTATTTACATCCCTTGTCTCCCCAGAGTTTTAAGAATGCTGATCTAAAAGCAACTTCAAGATTCTTTGAAGAGCTGCAGTATAACAAATGAAAACATGCACAAATTTATAATAGTAATGTGGAGGGAAATAGAGTTTGTGCTAGACTCATTGGCAATTCACAGAATTCTAGGTGTAAGTTTACTTATTAACATCCATCCAATATTATTACAAAGTTAATAAGCAGTCAACCAACCCAACCATCCACTTTATTCACTTTTTCTACCACTCAGACATCCTTCCAAAATTCAGACAGACAGACTACCAACCACCTATCCATTCTTTATTCCAACCATCCACCTAACCACCCAACCATTCATTAATAAATGCACGCAAGAATGAATTTTAAAAGTATTTATTGAATATTAGGTATTATACTAGAGCTTAGGGATTCAAAAATGAAAAACTCACGGTCCATACCCAGAAAGTATTCACAAGCCAGAGTAGGAGCCAAATGCATAAATAGAGTACAAAGAGATAGATATACCATATGCCCAAAGTACCATGAAAATAATCAGAAAAAAAATGCATGAAATCTGCTCCCCCAAAATTTGAAAAGATAATGGGAAAATATTTAAATAGACTCTTAAAAAAGAATAGGAGATAAGTTGGAGATCATTTGATAGAAAAGAGCTCATGCAACAACCTAGAGGAAAGAAAGAACATGACCCTTTTAAAGAATTGAAATTAGTTTGGCATGAAGAGGTGGTGAATATCCAGCAAGGGGAGGCAGAGCTTTTCATATTCACCATAATGATGCAAGAAATCATTCATGAGAAAGTATCTGCAAAGATATTAGCCATAGAAATGCAGGTTTGGGTCAGAGCTAGAGTACTTTCAGGAATTAGAATTTGTTCTTTTGGGTCATGTTGAGGAGGGAGGCTAGTAGAGGCTGCTAATAACACACTGGATGCATAAGTAAAAAATATAGGTGGGTCAAGGCCCAAAGAGTATGGTGTAAAATTCCTACCTCAGGTCAGTATGGCAGGTATAATATTGAGGTGTGGCTACATTTGGATTCAAACATGGGAAATGAGATGTAGACAAAGTGGAAAAGGTGACTTGTTGGAAGGTGCTGTCCATTTCAAAAACTGATACAAATGTGTGACAGACAAGTTCCTACAGGCTAAAATTTGGGTAGCCATTTAGACATGACAATTACCATGCACAAGAAATGCTAAAGACCCAGAATCTTGTTTTGAGGGGCATCCTCACTTTTGTCTTGAAGGCAAAACTCTCCAACTCAGTACCCAAGAAATCCAACTGATTCTAGAGACACTTCTTCCCATCTTAAGGCAAGGTTTTCCTTCTTTTCTAAGCACCTCAACTCATTTAGACTCAGTTTTACTTCCATAAAACTCTATTAAAAAGGAACACAGGACAACAATGACAACATCTTTTGAGTATGTCTGTCAGAAATTACTCTTTAAAAACAAACATAAATAAATGAGAAGTGAGGGAAAGCACCTCAGTTGCAGAAGAAAAAATTACTAGAAAATTGTGCTCACTCCAAAAACAATGGACTTCTTTAAAAAGATGCTTAGTAAGCTTACTGCTGATTCAATTCCTGAATTCCTATTAATTTTCACATTAATTAGCTATTGTTCTAGGACAAGTAATTATCTAAGCAATATTTCACCATCCTGAAACTAATCAAACATAAGGGTCCTAGTGAGTATTTCTATTAGTAAAAGCAAGTGCCTATAACACAGAAAGGATTCTTTCTCTGCTTTCTGATTTGAGCAAATGGGCAAATATAGCATGTAAAATAATTACAATCAGACTTAGAATTTATCTTAAAGTGATAGAATATCATCTTGGCCAATGTGGCTCAGTTGGTTGGAATGTCATACTGTGCACCAAAAGACTATGGGTCAGATTTCCAGTCAGGGCACATACTCAGGTGTAGGGTTCAATCCCCAGTTAGGGTGTGTACATGAGGGAACTGATCAATGTTTCTTTCTCACATTCTCTCTCTCACATTGATGTTTCTCTCTCTCTCTCTTTCTCTCTCTCCCTCCCTCCCTCCCTCCTTCCCTTCCTCTCTTTTCCTCTCTAAAATCAATAAAAATTTACCCTTGGGTAAGGATTTTAAAAAATGCATGCAGGAAATTTCTTTAAAGTCATAGAGTATCAATAACCATCAGATATCATTACTCCTCTCATTGATAAGTGGGGTGCAACTTCTCTCCCC